CAGACCGTGACAGAGAATCTGGGTACCCATCACAGACCGTGACACAGAAACTGTAGTTGTAAAGTATCAGACATACGGTCACCTACAAATGTGTCGTAAGGAAATGGAACAAAAGGATTTCCATTTAATTAGTAACAATAGGTCCATCGTGTTTCACATTTTTAATCCCGCAAGGGATTGCGCTAGCAGCTTTTGATCATGGTGTTACTATCATCACTATTACCACGATCACTATGGCGATTTTGACCATAGTTATTATTTGGCCATTTGTACCATTGTTACTATGGGCAATTGTGCCACAGTTACTGTGGGCATTTGAACCAAATGGTCATTTGTACCATAGTTACAACGGCCATTTTGACCATAATTAGTATTTGGTCATTTGTACCATGGTTGCTATATGGTCACCTGTGCCGTAGTTACGTGGTCGTTTGTACCAAAAAAATGACCGTTCGTGCCATAGTTACATGCTCATTTGTACCATAGTTACCTAGTTAATTTTAGTAAAAAAATGGCCGTTTGTGCCAAAAAAATGGTCACATGTGCTAAAAAAATGGCCATTTTGACCGTGTTACCGACAGACAGACACAGGTGAATTTCGGTTTCTAGACCCTAGCCTTTCAGTCTAGGGAATATACCACAAAATCGAACTACGGTATTTCGACCTGAGATTTATCCTGCAGACAAGTCTATTTGTGAGTAGATTCTCCTAGAAATTTCAGCTTAAAGCAATGTAGCCTTCTCGAAATACTCAAGTTTCGAAAGACAGAAAATTCAAGCATTTTTCATGGGATATGAGTGATTTTTGGGACTTGAATATCTCGGAACTGCAACATTCTTTTGAGCTGAAGTTTTCAGGGAATTCCAGGGTGTGGATGTAGGTTTGGGTGTGAGGTGTGTGGGCGTCGATATGGATGTGGTTATTGGCATTAGTTCCATACCCACAGCTACAGCCACAGCCACAGCCACAGCCACACCACCCCCACATCCACCCCACATCCACATCCATCCCACACCCACAGCGACACCCACACCCACACCCTGGTAGTGATTACCGATATTCCAGAGGATGCCTGATGAGCACTGATTAGAATCGACAATTGTGTATCAAGTAGAGATCAGCAAATCCACTATACTCTACTTCAACTCCATACAACTCTGGTCTTTTTTTCTAAAATCCCATTTCAACTACACTGTGTTCCGGTCCAACTTCATACCATCTCATTTCTTTTTTCTAAAACCCTACTCGAACTCTAATTCAAACTCCTGAATAAGTCTTTAGTTCTACTCCAACTCTGGTTTTACAGAGCTAAATGTCTTTCAAAAATCTCTTAAGCACACAAAAGTTTTTTAACATACTTAAGGCTGACCAAAAGTTCTAATCATGGTGTTTAAAATTTTATAAAATAGTGAACATCAGAAGTTTTATTGCATGAATACATAGTAGAGTGCCTCATCTGTAATAATGTAGGGTATGGGAGGTAGGTAAGTGTGAGGGAATAGGAAATCCACACAAACGCCCAGACCCCACACCCAGACTCAGACTCACGTACACCCACACATTCATCCCTACATTATTATACGCATGGCATTCTACTATGTATTCATGCAATAAAACTTTCGATATTAACTATTTTATAAAACTTTAAACACTGATCAGAACTTTTAGTCAACAGTAAATAATCAAACCTACGGATGATATCAATGAGTAGCAGGTTAGTTGATTCTATGATGAGCTTTCGCATAAAATCTAGAGATGAATGACTCCATTATAGTCCGTTCGAACTCCATACAACTTCATGCCTATTTTCTGAAATCTAATTTCAACTGCACCTCAAGCCCACTCTATATGTACGTCAACTCCACTCCAGCTCTATTTGCATTCGAATCCAACTCTACTCATCAATTGCTTGATTCCACTCCGACTCCACTCGAAGTCGATTGCAGATCTATATTAACTCCATTGCTGCTCTGGTATGAAAAGCGTAAACGTCGTAGTTAGCGTTGTCCATCTTTGATGTCAAGGGTTCCAAAATTCTTATTCTTCAGCTCCTCATGACAATATTCATGACATCTAAGCGCAATGATGGATTCTCAGAACAAGTGCTAAATAAGGTTTATAACGCGATTCTAATAATATATCCTCATGATTTTAAGAATTTCAGATTTTGGCAGAGTTTCTTATTTAGTCATCAAGATTCTCTTCTAAGATCCTAATGCAATGGTTTCAAGCTAATTTTCACGCAACTTAGTAATAGCTTTGTAGAACTCTTCCTGTCTATTCCATTCCGATCTACAGATCCCTATGTTTTTCTATGGGAACTACTGATACGATTAGCATTAGTCTTCTAAGTATATCAAAGACAGAAGGCGTCATATTTCAAAGATCTCCCATGGACTTCTGTCAAATTTCCTCGGTTTCGTATGTATACTAACCTTTTTATGAACTTATTAAGATCCAATCATAGTCGTCGTTCGAACAGCTTGACATAAGTTCGCAAAAACTTACTAGAGTCACTCGCGCATCCTCAATGCCAATATGAAGTTTCTCCAACCGAGTGAAAAGCATTCTGAAAGATATATACTGTTGACGATGCACATTTATTTTCCCAATAATTCGAAATACTCATTCGTAACATTCTCCTTGCAAAGTCTTGTTGAAATCTCCTCAGGATCTTTCCAGTTTAAAAGTTTGACACAGTTCATTGTTTTAGTGCTTAGGCCCTTCAAGAATTGAAGCTTGCTAATATCCTTCCTTATAACCCTACAAAGATTCTCCATTCATGATTACGACTCAGATCCCTATGTTTTCCTGTCCAAATTCTGGAGAGAATTAGCATTGATCGTTTTCAAGGTGCTGTTTTCATCCACCACGAAGACTTTTAATTTTTTTCGGATTTGAAAGATCTTGGCAATAACTTAAACAAGTCCCTGCAAACACAAATTGTCATAGATCGTATCAGGATTTCTCAAGGAAGTAGCAATATTAAGATTGGGGCAGTGACATAGGTATAAGAATCGTTATGAAGCCTTTTTTTTCTATAGAAAACTAGGAAATGGTTTCCAAATTTATATCTGCTTGGAGAACCTTTTCTCGTTTACAGTCTATGAGGGAAGGACATTCTCGAAAGTTTTACAAGTTTTCTCAAAGAAAGAGAAGAGATTTCTTCAATAACAATGATTCTTTTTATTTTTCGTTCATGGTAGTGATTCCCAATATTCCAGTCAGTGCTCGATGGGCACAGAATGGGTTGACCGTCGCTGGTGGGCATGAAGTAAGCGATACCACCAATCAACTCTGCCTCCCTGAAGGTCTTTTCGTTGATGATGATCAAACGATGTTCATCGCTGACTGCTTGAATAATCGTATCATCCAATGGAAGATGGGTGATACGAATGGACCAGGAAATCGATTCGATGGATTGAATTGTCCAACTGATGTGTTGATCGACAAAGTGACGAATTGTCTCATTATTTGTGATGAAGGAAATCGACGAGTCGTACAACGGTCTCGTCTTAGTGACACAACACAAGAAAAAATTCTCATCAACGACATCCATTGTTGGGGATTGGCCATGGATGATCAGAGATATCTCTACATCTCTGACACCGCCAAACATGAAGTAAGACGATACAAAATAGAAGACAATACTGAAACTATCGTGGCTGGCGGTAATGGTAAAGGTGATGCTTACAATCAACTTAAGCGGCCAACCTACATCGTTGTCGATCGACAACAAACTGTCTACGTGTCAGACAACGAGAATCATCGTGTGATGAAATGGAATAAAGGTGCAAAAGAAGGAATTGTCGTCGCTGGGGGTCCAGGCGAAGGGAATGATCGGACAAAATTGTCAAATCCTCACGGACTGTTCGTCGATACATTGGGTACCATCTATGTGGCAGACTCCGGGAATAATCGAGTGATGCGTTGGCCTAAAGGGGCGAAACAGGGCACTGTCATTGCGGGTGGAAATGATGAAGGAAACGGATCTAATCAGTTGAGCTGGCCCAGGGGTTTGTCCTTCGATCGACATGGCAATCTCTATGTTGTCGATTATAACAATCATCGAGTTCAACGATTTTCAATTGAATAGACTCAAACGATAATGAGTGTGGGTGTGGATGTGAGTCTTATCTCTGATCACTTTCACATTCACACTCACACCCATACCCACACACCCACATTCACACCCACCCACGCCCCACACCTACATCCACACACTCACATCCACTCACATCCACACCCACCTTACCCCCACACTCTGCACACTCACACCCACACACCCTCAAGATTGCATGAATTTTCCTTTATTTTAAAATAAAATCCATTTGAATAAAATAAAAACAAACCAAAGAAGATGAGTTCGTTCTTCGTTGATCACAAAGTTGTTACACTCCAAAAAAATTACTTTTTTCCTACTAACAGTTGTAGTTCATCAAAAACATATTGATTGATTCATGCCAAATGAGAATCAACATTTATCTTATTGTTTCCTTGTGCAAATTCAAAATGAATTGATTATTGGTTCCGAGTTGTTCACTTTCATCGTTCGTCTGTTCTCATTCACAATGTCAAAGACGTTTTAATCAGGGTGTGGGTGTGGGTGTGGGTGTGGGTGTGGGTGTGGGTG